GTAATATTTTTTTATACTACATATATCCATTTTAAATACACTAATTTCTCTCCTTTGTAACAACTAAGGCAAAAATGTAATTAATTCTGAAAATCTTTTCAGGACCCCACCTTGATTTTTCGGGACCCCACTTTGGGTCCCGACCCCAACTTTGGGAAACACTGGTCTAGTTAATTTAATAATAGTAGTATAAGCTCTGACACATTATATTGGAAACATTATTTTTCTTTCATGCCAGAGTTTTGAGCTAATATTCTTGCATGCAGAGAAAAAGCAACAGTTTTAGCTGTTTTTTGGTCACATCTTCTAAATAACGGTTAGTCAAACAAAAAGGATTTAAGGAAAAAGATGTTCCTACTGCAGAATCCATTAACATCACTGAAGCTGGGAAGGAGTTGCATCTTCCTCTGTGTACGTTTGAGGAGTTTCTGTGGAAATTTCTGACACCTGTAACAGCGGTGAAACTACCACTGGAATCCACTGCTGAAAGCACGCTGACAACAACAATGACACGTATCAGGAAGGAGGAAGTTACAAATCGTTTCAAACCAAATGCTTCTGAAAGGTTGAGTCTTGAGGGATAATTCAAAGAGCTGGAAATTACGACTCACATTCCTGTAGCCAGCTGTTTGTAAGTATCATGTCTGAACTACAGCTAGGTTGGAGAACTTAACCTGATTTTGCCTCACTGAAACCAGGAAAAGCTGAAACTGAAACTAAAGCAACAAATGTCATTTACGAGACAAAAAGGTAATTCTGCTTCACTTAATCCCACCGTCAAGGACAGAACAAGGGAAAACAACCATCTCATTCATGTGACGATATGAGAAAAAAGTGGAAGAATTATTTATTTTATCATCTATGACTCATCATAAAACACTAGGTAATCTCATTTGATTCATTTTTGAAAACGATCACATCCTTCGCGGGAAAAACTTCATTCAATAACAGAGTACCTAAATCACTCAGATTCAAGCATCTCACTGGTTGTATATAATTAGCCTAGAGTCCACGTGTGTTGATCAGACTCACAGCATCAGGACCACAAACACACAAAAATCCAATTTCACCTTAAACAACTACGTACTTCAGCCCTTTGTTAATACATGTAATCTTGCAGAATGTCATTTACAAGCTTTGACCAAAACAGCTACAACTTCATCATTTCCCAACAGAAGATGTGCTTAGTTTAAAACTTTGGCATGAAAAGCAGCAAACAATATGTATTCCTTCAGTGAATACTAGATCTTTTGTTTTAAATACTACTTTATATCAAACTTATTATATTATATTGTATTTGTATTGTATTGTATTATATTATATTTATTAATTGTATTTTTCAAGTGTTTATTATTATTATTATTTTTATTTCTACAACACATTTTTATTTGATGACAACTTAATGATTGGTTACTGGTCTTAAGGACAAAAGAGTCACTTTTAGCTAGATGTGAACTTTAAAAAAAATAACAAAGAGAGAGAAACAAATGGTATGTTTCTTTGCAACTTCGCAGAGGATGACGAAGACATTTTGAGAGCACTGGACAAGCTCAGACGGTGACTGGGGAAAAAAAAACAGTGAAGAAAAAGTGAAAGGGGGGAAATGAAACAAGTCTGCTCTGAAGGCGACACAGTGGGAGGAAATCCAGGCCGGAACCAAGCAAGAAATTCACTGACATTTCTAATCAGAGTGGGACAAAGCTTGAGAAGTAAACGTGCACAAATCTTCATGGTTTACYGCACACACTGCCAGGAAAGGAAGAAGAGGCAAATGTGGCAGAGAGTAATGAAGAGGCACACATGTGCTCAAATATATCTGCAGTTTCTCTGCAAGCCAGCAAATGGTGACTTTATATTATTTTAATGTTTGAGCTTTTAACAGGTTGTATATTGTCATTCATCTTTTACAGTTGGAAATCTCCCTCAGTTTGGCCACACTCTTCTAACCTCATTTTAATCCCTGCTTTATGCTCAATGATAGTGATATTTGTTGGAATATATTATTTGTGTGAAAAGTGTAAAGCAGCTGGGATGAAGATCAGGAACTTCAAATACTGAATATATGAATGCAATATTAAAATACATAAGTAAAAAACAGAAACTGAAGTCAAACGTTAGCAGCCTGCATAGCCTAAATTTGGAAAAACTAAAAATAATTATTGAGTAAAATTTAGTTGCTCACCAATTTTACATTCAAACTTTTTCGTGCCCAGTGTTTAAATATAAAAGGAGGGCCCTATTATTAGCAGCAAAGGACCTTTCTTCCACATAAAGTGAACAAAAATGATACGTTATTAATCATAAAATGATACTTTGTGAATTTAATGGTAATGCTTACAATGAAGGCTGTGACTCAAACACAATGACCAGCGTCTTTAACTTAAAGCAACTGCACAGCAGGGATCAATTAGTGATAACTGATGTGCCTCGAAAACACTGGTGGCAAGACACTTTTGACAACTTAATGAAAGGGGAGGCAGTGTAGCTTTGCAGAAATGTGCCAAGRTTGCTAGGGTCAATCTTATTTATTAAATTAGACCATGTCAAAATGCAATTAAAAAAAAGAAGTTGTACAATTATTTTCAAGAATGATGATGCGTCTCACACTTAGTGATTCGAGGGTTTTTAGTCTATATGATCATACCATGTAAGATCGTGAACATAGTTTATTTGTATTCAAAAGTGGCTTTGACTTTTTATTACAAATAAAATATCTGTGTTGAGATAAGCCAATGAAATGATGCCGATTCACTACAGCAATGCATAAACATGCCTCTAACATCAGCCGATGAGTCACTGTCAGGACACACAGAGGGCGTCCTGAAACTCAATTGTTGAACCTTTGCCATCACTTTGTCACATTAGTCATCATCTTCCACATACACAGCTGGAAGAGCAGAGCAGAGGAAATTTCAGGGGCAGACCACACGGCGAACCTTTTGGGTCCAAGTTGTATAATGTCATTGTTGTTATGACATTCACAAATTTCCACCTGCTGCTCGGCAGCTTCCAGGCATGAATTAATCACAACAAATTGGCTCTAAAGGAGCAAAATTTATAGAAAAGAGAT